CGGTCTGCAAATGCGCTAGAATTACGTCAGTTACGAGAGCACTATGAGGTACGCATTAAGGAATCTCGAATGTAGGCGAATCTGCGAACCTTAGGTGCTTGTTGCATAGAAGACAAAGACGCACTCACTGTGACAGCACTTCTATTAATCTGAGCTTTCGGACTCTTACAGGAGGCCAACAGCAGAGAAAATAAGAGAAAAACAACAATTACTATGCTTTATAGTCCGGTTACGAGAAAATGGCAGTGAGGGTAGGGGGTATCCTTTGTGATTGGTTGAGTCCACACCCACGCCGTGTCGTCTCTGCATGCGTCCCTGGACATGCTTCATGGTTGCGCACAGGTGGGGCATCATAACGGGGCGGCATATCCACGTGTCTGTTGATGGAGTTGGAGCCTGACACTCAGGCCTCCAAAAGTTATCGCTCCGTCTTATTACTGGCTCGTGTTATTATTCACGTGCCCGTGAAGTCGAATTCGTGGGTTTCTACCAGGCTAGCGATCTGGAAAAGTGGATCGCCTTTCTGTACTGCCGGTTTGTGCTCCGTTATTCGGGAGCTCATTTGTCGCTCAGTCTGTCCTGTATAATGACAATAACAGTCGTGGCATGGCACTTGATAAACGACGCTCAAGCAGCTGCCGAAGCTGTTCGGATATCCATTCCTTGCCAGTTGGTCCTTAAAATGATGTAGTTCTCGCATTCGTTCCTCAGGTTCACTGCAGTGTGTTCTTACCCTCTGAAAGAGTGCTCTTATACAGCTGCGTTTATGTGCCATTGGGTAGATGCTATGGGAGTTCAGCACCTGGGTTGTGTTAGCCGCCTTTCTATATATCATTGTGCTGGGTTTTCCATTGAGTATGCGCCTGACGGAGACGTCAAGGAAAGGCAGTTGTTCTCTTTTGCCCTCGTGAATTGAAGAGCGGGGAAGATGCCCTTAAACAGGTCTTGGAAGTCTGCAAGTCTGCTTTATTCGAATATAACGAAGGTGCTCTCCACATATCGGCAACAGAACGCAGGTTCAAATTTATTAAAGGCGACTTTT